CTCTTCTCTTCTCTTCTCTTCTCTTCTCTTCTCTTCTCTTCTCTTCTCTTCTCTTCTCTTCTCTTCTCTTCTCTTCTCTTCTCTTCTCTTCTCTTTTCTCTTCTCCTCCTTTTCACTCTATCAAGGGAAAAACCCCAAACATCTCGGTGTTTTGTGACTATGTCTGTTTTGAAGGAAAATGTCCAACTTTTTCACCCAGATGGACAGTTGTGTTCTGTGTGCTGCATGACACAGATGTTCCCACCTGCAGAAGAACCCCAGGTCACCTCGGAGGTCCAGAGCAACAGAGCACCAACGAGCCTAATGCATAGGATGAAGGTATCCGTGTACACATTTTTGGATAAAGTGTTTTTGCACAAGCAAAGCTGTAGGAACTAGAAACCCTTAAGATAAAGAACCGAGAAAAAGAAAAGATGCACTTTCAAGTCTGGTCAGGAAGGATCGTCACTGGCCTTAGGTCCCAAAAGCAAATATTTAGGGGTCGGGTTAACCGTGGGAAAGGATTAGCGGACACAGATTCAAACAAGAAAACTTCCTCCCCGGCGGAGCCAGCTCCGTGCCGGGGCTCGCCGTCCCTGTCCCCAGCCCCCGAGCCCTTCGGCCCCGCTCCGTGGCACCGCACGGTGCAGGGAAGAACCTCCCCGGCAGCCAAGGCCTCCTCCACCAGGGAGACGAGGGAGGGGATCATTATTCTCCCACTGTAAGGCATTCGTCATTATAAATCGTCAAGCCCAGTGTGCCGGGGAGGTCTCCAGAGCCGCGCTGGGTTTACAGCCGCCTTTCCTAACAGCGCAGCCCGGAGATAGCCCAGCACTCACTTGAGTCGCCGTGCACAGAGCCCCTGAGCTCCCCGTATCCTCAGGGGCGCTGGGCTCTGCAGGCCAAGCGGGAGGTGACAGCCGGCCCCCCACGCTCTGCCCGGCCCCGAGGCACCGATAGGGACATCACCAGAGAGCCCCGAACGCTTCTCGGTGCAAGCAGGCGGCGCTGCCCCTCACCTCGGCCGGCTGCTGCTCCCAGGCTCCGCGGGAAGGCTCCGTCACTCCCGCTGCCGGGGTAGAGGGGAGCGAACCTGCATCGGGCCGTGATCTCAAACGAAAGCCACGAATTAAAACAACGCCCTTGGAAGCCAGACTTGCTGCTGTGTAAGGAGGGCGAAGAGCTCTTCGTCCAGGAGGACGACAGAGCTACCAGGACTCTCAAACGCGGAATTCTGGTTACTTGAAAGCAGCTCGAAAATGCAATTATTCCTGTAGGTGGCACTGGTACTAGATGTTGTAGAAGCAGAGGCAGAAACGGAGAAAATTGCCTAGGAATTCCCAATTGGTTCCTATAATTTAAGGCAGAGCAATAGAGTTATCTTTTTTTAATTTACTCTAAATTTATGTAACATGTGACAAATGAAAACCCGATTTCTTTATTAGAACAAAATACTCTTTAAAAATCTAGCCCTCTATAGCTTAATGGTCTGGTCCACAAGAGTTGTCTATTCCCCTATATGTCATTAAACAAATCCTAGTGCAAATAGAAATTAACTCAACACAGCTCATTCAAGTCAAATGCTTGCACCAGGAAAGCCCTAATGAGATACTGTCTGGTTTCCAGAAGGGTTGCTAAGTACGATTGGCGGCAAAGTTATTAAATCTGTCCAAGCAGCTAACACATCATTAAGACACCCCACCTAACCCTCCCGACCACGATCTGAATGTTCAAGAGAGTGTGGAAGGGATGTGACAGTGGCTCCCATGCCATAGACCAGATGAAACTCCCCACGCCGGGGAGAGGAACCGGGATAGCCCCGGGTCTCGGCAGCAGCGGGAGGCGCTGAGGGGTTTGCCGGGCAAACCTGGTCCGCGGGGACGTCCTTAACCCCGGCCTTTGTCCCGGGTTAGCACTACTGTGCATTTATTTCACCTGTTCACCAGCCTCCAGCGTGCCCCAGTGAAATGCACGCCCATGCCTTCACTGCAGAGGGTCCGTACGGACCCGGCACGGCGGGCTCAAGCCCGGCAGTGTTACCGGCTCCGTCCGTCCCTCCTTTCTCCTGAGAACGGGTCAAACGCCCGTAGTCACTCTCCACGGGTTGTCTGAGTTTCTACAGACCCTGCCCTTCTCCCGCCAGGCCGGGGGGCGGCTCGCCGCGGTGTCGTAGGGACTGAGAGCCCCGGCCGGGCCAAGGAACCAGCCAGCCTGGAAAACAGCCGGGAACCAGCCGGGAACCAGCCGGCTCCGAGCTGCGGCAGAAGATGCTCGAGAAGGAGCGGGGGGCTCCGGCCCAACCCCCCGCACAGCCCGACACTGAGTGGGCATTTCTGACCGCTGAAGCTGAGCTTCCCTGTTTCTGCACGCCAGGGAGGAGAGCTCTGCGAGAGGCTGTGTCCTTATCCCAAAAGCGGGGCGCAAGAAAGCCTTGTGTAGAAATAGAGATTTCTTGCTATGTTTCGTTTTCTTCAGATTTTGAGTCTGTGACAACAGAAGTGACGCCAAGATCCGATTGTATTTTGCCCATCATTGCTTCATAAATATGCAGGAAATGTCCAGACATGGCTCGTTTGTATCTGATTAAACTTTCAGCAGATATTTGTATTCAAAATGACAAAATTTCATCCTGTTATATTTCCTTTCTCCGTCTTGACCCTGATGTTGAAATAATTTCTTAACATTGAAATCACGCACTCTCACACAACACAGCTCCCTCCCTACCTGCCAGCTTGTGTGAGCTTCAGAGTTGTTGCGTGTATTTCCGTGCATGTTTGAGTATTACGTTAATTAAATTAGGGTAAAAATACTCTCCCCTCCGGAATCACAAGTGAATGAATGTGGGCAGTTTATGCAAACACAAAGGTATAAGCCGATGCTAAAATAAGGTAGCAGGCTGGAACAAGAAACTTACCATCTACAAACGACAGACCCGCAACTTGTGCCAGATCATTCTCAAAACGCCCTTTTCCCCCAAAGAGGGGAAAAGTGGAAAACAAGCCCAGCCCCTGCAGAAGGGCCGGGGGTCGCCAAAGGGTTGGGGAGCTGTTGGGGGGCAGGAGTCCCTATTGCTGCCGTCCCTATGTATCTGCAGCGGTCTCTATCTATCTGCAGCGGTCCCTATCTGCAGCCGAGCGCCGGCTGGAAAGGATTTTCTCCCTGTGACAATCCCCCTTCTGTTTCGCACAGGCGTTTGCCGGTGCGTGTGCCCTTGTCCCAGGCTACGAGGGGGGTCAGCACACCTGAGAGCTGGGGGTCAGGCCGGCTATTTTCAGGCTGCAGGCTCGGAGGGGGAGCGTGAGCGGCGAGGTCAGCCCCGCTCCCGCTCCCGCTGCCTGCCGAGGCACGCTGCCCTCGCTAACCTACTGCGCTCAGCTAGTTTGTGGCATAAGGAAATGCACATGGCAGCCAGTGATGCGTGGAGGCCCCTTCATCCTGCGTTTGGTTCCTCGCAGAAAACGGGAATGATCCCTGGAGATTCCGTGGGATTTTGTACGCTCACGCGTGGGAATAGCTCTGTGCAAAATGAAAGCCCCGTTTCAAAGCTCCGTGGGTCTCATCTCTCTCAATTTCGCACAGCATCTTCCCTCCAGGACGGGTCACCTCCGGACATAACTCGAGGTTCTTGCTGCGTTGTCGCTAACCTTCCACCTGCCTCAGCCCGCTTTTCCCTACCTGCCCTTCAAAGGAGCCCAAAATCTCCCCCGACACCCACACCGCGTTATCCCCTCACCCCTGCTCCGGCTCCAAGAGGTTCCTTGCCCACCAAACTGTCTGCATCGCTTCCGGGGGAGGATTTCGCGGCTTTGAGCCGCATGGCAGCAGCTGGGGGCGGGGAAGACAGGGCAGCCGCGACAGTCCCTCCGGCCGCCGCGCCTCGTCCGCCCCTCGGACCTTCCCCACGCCACCTCGGGAAATGCGGCCACCGAACTACATACACGGCCGGGGAACCGTGTCCTTTGGGAAGGATCGGGGGCCTTCTGCTTACAAATGCGTTACCATGGGGGCATCCTTCTGCCTTAATAGCCCCTCAGTAGCCCTCTCCCTTCGAGGAAGGTGAGGAGGTTATCTTCCTTCCTCCCTTAAAAAAAGAAATCAATAAAAATCTGCAGCTTCAAAGAGGGTGTGTGTGTGTGAATGTGTGTGCGTTTGTGTGTGCGCCGGGTTAGATTTGTCTGGTTTCTTCCTCCAAGGGCAGAGCAGAGGCATCTGGGGAGCAGAGCGAGGCACAGCAAGGCCTCATGAAGGCTGCTCTAAGAGGAAGGAGCAGGACACGCCGAGGTGAGCACAGCGGCGCAAAGGAGCCCTGCCGGAGCGCTGGAAAACCTCAGAGTCGGGACTCTGCTCTCAGAGCGGGAGCTGGGCACTGTCGGGAGGCCTGCCCGGCCCCGGAAAGCGCCGGAGAAGGCCTCCATGGGCGGGGGCAGCCAGGGACGGCGGCTGCCGCCTCGCCGGTACCGGCGGCGCGCGGGGGCTGCTGCAGCCGTATCCGCGATTTGCAGCGGGCAGCTCCCGCCGAGGCTGTTTAGTGCAGGAGAGAGGGCGAGGAAGCAGAGTTTGAGGGAAGGGGAGGACGGGGAGGGCCTGTGGCTCCCCTCTGCGAGCAGCAGCGTCGGGAGAAGGCAGACAAGGGCAGCGGCGCCCGAGAGACACCAGGGCCGTACCCCGGCTCCCCGCGCTGTGCGTGACGGCACCGCTCAGGAGCTCTCCCGGCAGGGAGGGAAAGGAATGGCAGGGCAAGCCCGGCTCCTGTCTGGCTCCGGCTCGAGTCTCTCACAGCTTCCCCCCCGTTTTGCTTTGTCAGGCCGGGGTCCCTGCGGTGAGGGCGCGGGTGCGTGCCGGGGCAGCCGCCGGCTCCTCAGGGCGAGCCCCCTGCCCAGCACGCGTGCCCTTCCCCGGGTAGAACAGCCCCGACCCCGCGCCCCCGCCCTCCCCTCCCGGCTGCCTTTCCCCTCCGATTCTACAAGGATTTCCTACCTGAAAAAAATAATCTTTTTGCCAGGCAGGTCAGAAGCGATCAACAGTCTGTTGTATATTATGTTTTCATATTCCTCTCGTCTCCCCCTGCCCTCTACCGACTCACTGTAGATCTGACCTTTGGTATTTCAGCTCACACTCAGCAGTTGAATGGAAACAACTTGAGCACGTTCACTTCTGATAAACATTATCCTCAAACCACTAGAGACCCGAGCAGAGTAAACGAGCTTTTCCGACAGGACCACATCAGGAACACACATTGAGAACGGGAAAGAAACAAAATATCTAGGAGATCAGAGGCGGGCTCGAGGGTGGAGGGGTGGGAGAGGGAAGGAGGGGGAACAGACAGGTTGGAGGACACGGCGGAGGGGGAAGAGAAGGACCAACTGTGAACACAACAGACACAGATGCGGACAGGAGCCGCCCGGGCAGCGTGGGAGAGCGGCGCAGGGTCACGCCCGAGCATCCCAGCAACCCTGGGGGAGCTTTAGGGGCGCCGAGCGGGTCCAGGGGCGGCGGGGTCGGGCTTGCACCGCCCGGAGATGTTCCCCGTCCGCAGGGCCCGGGACCGCGCTGAAGCCACGGCAGTCCCGGTGTTCGGGGCGGCGAGCAGCCCAGGCCCCGTCGGGCTGGGGAACACGCTGTAGGGCGAGCAGCCTTGTCGGGGAGCCCGACGAGAAACTCCGCTTCCACAAGAAATACCCAGTTAAAGCGGATCAGAAGTTTTACGGATTCCCACCTCCTTTCACTGTTTAATTACAGAAATAGCTTGATTAAGGCTGGATCTGGGTCCCACTAATTCAATGCCTTCTGCCTTAAAAATAGCCAAAGGAGGTCATTTCACAACACAGAGAGGGGCTCTGGCTTCCGCAAACGCCTGCCAGTACCACTGCCTGCGCAAAATGCTTTCGGACAGTGGCATTTGCGCGGGTGTGAAGAGTGCTCCCCTTATCAGAGATAATTCTATCTGGGTTGAAGAAATACCACAATCTACAGGTGCAATATTCTGAAAGGGCAACTCGTACTTTTGAAGCAACCACAAAACTGCCATAGAAAATTCCTGTTGTGGTGGTTTGGTTTTGTTAGGGTTTTTTTTTTGTTTTGTTTGGGTTTGGTTTTATTGATGGTTTTTTGGTAATGTATTTTTTTTTTGTTGTCGTTGTTTTCCTTTTTGTTTGTTTGGTTTTTTTTTTTAATTACTGTGGAGAAAACAAGTATCCGCAGATATTTCGATCGAATGGAAGTACCTGCAAAAGAGCCATGATCACCTTCTTTTCACCACAAAACGCTTATAACACGCCGCTAATTTCTGGGAGATCTCTGCAACATCTTATTTCTTCACATTTAGGAAAGTTCATTGCGATATGTGCAGGATCTGAAATATCGCTCAATTTTTTTTCCTAAAAATATTTTACATTTCAATTGAAAAAATATCGACACTTTGTTTATGCACACCAGCGACATAAATTTCGTGGTTTACTTGGTGATATTTTGTGCACTAGGATCACCGCCTTATTTCTTTTCACGTTTTATTTAATTTACAGAGTCTGTAACTTTGAGACTCTATTGAAAAAAATAAAAGCAATAAGCGACAAAGAAGAATCTCAGGAGATTAATAGATTAATACAGAAAAACAAAAAACAAACAAAAAAAACCCCAAAAAACCAGACCCAACACAAATCCTTAGCTGAAGCCCATGATCTCTGTGTGCAACACGATGTAAGGTAGAGCATAAGACGCACACACACAAGGTCAGCTCAGGATCCCTACACCGCCAAACCAAATATTTCTACCACATACACGCCGTGACCCACACATTCTTTAATTCCTACCAGCGTTGTCTGTTTTTCTTTGGATTGCTAATATGTATCAGTGCCTTTTACAAAGCTGAAGTCAGCTGCGAGGCATTGACATTTTACGGTTAAGCCTTGCAGTGTTAGAGTGGGCATGAAAACAGAACCGGGGCCGGTCTGCGCTGGCAGCGAGCGCCAGCATCCCGGTACCGGTGCGCGGTGGCCGGAGAACGCAGGATCCCAGGGCCAGGCGCTACGGGACAAGCCCCGTCCCGTCTCCTCCCAAGGCGAGGGAAATTGCAGCTCGTTTCCTGACCGGTTGGTGATTTTCACCAAAAATGACGCAACTCTCATCGCTCACGGTCTTCTCGTACACAACCCGCGAAACATTCGTTAGCGAAAAGGTGCTTTATTACAACGAGGCGACCAGACCCGCGAAGAGCTTCTCTCGCGGTCCGCAACCTCAACGCGGGCAAACCGTGTGTGTGTCAAAAGACGGCTCTGCTTCACTCGGGGAAAGGGGGA